TTAACTTGCTTGGGAGGCCCTAATCCTCACGATTAGTACTCACGAAGTTTTTCGAGACTTTTTTTCTAGTTACCTGTGCATACAACAGTGTGGCCACAGGGCTTAAACGCCACTTCAGCTTCATTCTCCTCACAGATGTAGCACTTTGGTTTCTCTTCTTTGCCTTCTATCCCTTTTTGTACCTCATTTTCAGTATTTTCTACAATTGTTTGTGATTCTCTCTGCCTGTTTGTTTGGTTAGGCTCTTGTTCCCCTTCTCCAAATTCCTGATCCGCACCGCTATCATTCACTAATTCTCCATTGTTCATCTCCTTCACTTGAACGGCTACATCTGAGCTGCTGTTTGAGAATTCCGCGGTGAAAGATTCTTGTGGCACTTGATTTGTGACTTCCAGAACAATATTCTCCTACAGAAACAATGAACAAAACAAAATGCACCCTGACGTTTGGAAAACTCGTTGGAAACTCATGGTGAGAAAGTTTCAGAAGACAGTTAAGAGCTCTGAACCAAAGAACGCAGATTTTCTTTATGTTAATGGCCAGACAACATATATGATGCTTTCTTTGGTTTCAAAAGAAACAATTCTGACACTTCTAGATCCTTATATTCATTCTTATAAAATGGACTCAATAAGTGATACTTCGCCCCTTGTAAGGGAATCCAGATTCCGGAATCTGCCAAATTTTTGCCTGTGGACTCAGGAATGCTTGGCTTTAGAATCCAGAATTCAGCTCAAGGAGTTCAGAATCCCGATAACGATTGGAATCCCGAATCCAGTACCTGGTATCTGGAATTCATAGCGTGGAATCCAGAATCCTTGACTGTCTTAGATTACCTTTCATGGGATAAGATAACTACGTCTACCTCTCCATCAGACGATCTTAAGAGTAAACATATTTTAAATCAAGGCCACGCAAAACCTGCTTCAGTTCGGTATGCGACAAACGCAGACTGCAGACTTGAAGACTGATATCATATGTTGTCGCACACCGGCTTCAATTGGATTTATTGTGATCAAAGGATTCATTTGTATACGTATAAATAATTTTGTACTTGTTACCTGAATTTGCTCCATGGTATTGCCCAGAAGGTTGTTTTCTGGAGGTTCTTTTTCCAGATTTTCTTCTTCTTCTTCTGTTTCTTGCATATTCACTTCTTCATCTTCATCATCTTGTAGAATTGCGCTGCCTGGGCTTTGGTGGCCTGTCTCACTGGATTCTTCATCCTGAAAAACGTTCTGGTCATCTCTTTCTGAAGGCGCCTGTCCTTGAGCCTCCATCCCCATCCCCGTGGACGCTGAGCCACTGTGACTTGAGACCTGAGATACGCTTTGCTCTGGGTTTGTAACCTTGGTGCCACCAAAACTTGGAACTTTTTTAACTTGTGCATTTCTGGAAAGAGCATAAAATTCATTACCTAATGACTAGGGCATATAATAATTTTAACCTGGCAAAGTTTCGATCTAATGCTTCGTTTTCTCATCAGTCTTGATCGTGGGATACGTAAGCACCAGGATGGCCGAGTGGTTAAGGCGTTGGACTTAAGATCCAATGGGCGTGTTGTCCGCGTGGGTTCGAACCCCACTCCTGGTAATCTTTTTTTACTTTAAATTCCTCTCAGTGTTGATCGTGTACATAGATAGTTAGAGTTGATAAGTAATCTCTCGCCACGTAAGCACCAGGATGGCCGAGTGGTTAAGGCGTTGGACTTAAGATCCAATGGACGTGTTGTCCCCGTGGGTTCGAACCCCACTCCTGGTAATAATTCTTTTTACTTTAAATTCTTCCAGTACAAGCAATGACCTTCAAAACAAAAAATGAACAAAGTTCTTAAGTTTAGTTATACGAAATTATAGTGGTACTTGGTTCAAAACTGCCGCTGGAATGCCATTGATTTTTTTTTGTATTTTGAAGCTTAGACAATGTTTGCAGTAAATGACGTAATTGAAGCTATGTCCACATGAGATTTAAAGAAGCATGTCATTAAAATTAAATTCATTTTATTATATAGCTACAATTGTACGCGCGCTCTGATTGGCTGTTTTCTTGTAATAACCTGACATTACTGGCTGGGTGTCCGAGGCATATACAATCTGTGTTGAACTTGATAGTAAACATCCTTATGGTCAATTGACAGCTGTCAAAAAGGGTATCCCTGACCAGCGTCATCGGGCCTAAGCGTACAACTCATTGAGGTGGTAACGTGAATTTTAAAGTTATCCACTGACCGGCTGATCGCAGGCTCAGGTCCATAATGACAAAGGCCATATAACAAATAACTTGGAAACCTCGCCCGTTCGATCATTACCTCGGCCTTGATGTATTAACTGAAAGGACGAGGTTAATAAGTAGTATACTTATGTATTATAATTACTTTTTCAGGAATCTGCAGCCTTTATTACGCCCATCTTTTGCAACAATATCTTACTTTGATAAAAGTACATTCATTCACCGGAGATCTTAGCAAACTCTACTGAGCTTTTAAAAGAAGATCCCCAATTATGGCTTGCCACTAATTAAAATTTCAGTCAGTCGCCGCTGTTTGTGGTAACATTACCTATGAAGAGCTTGACTTTACTACGAAATAAAATAAATAAATTAATAAATATTAAGTAAAGAATAAATGAATGGACGAATGAATGAATGAAAACAAAGTAAAATCTATCATAAAAGCTAAATTGAAACAAAATAAAACAAACGGTACCCTGCCGAGTTTGCGATTTCACGGATAAGTTGTTCGACTTCTGTTCCATCACATCTGTCCAGTGGTGTTTCTCCATTCTTATTCGCTTGAAGCACATCGGCACCATAGCTTAACAAACAACGTGAGACGGCCGCATAACTTACACTGTTTCTTCCCCTTAATAGCAAGCGAAGCGCAGACTGTGAAAATAAAGATAATAATATTTTATTTGACTGAAAGCCTGTCTGAGACTATATTATATATTTGGCGCGCCCTTCTCAACCTATCAAAAGTAAAGCTGTTTCCTGTGTTAGCGCAGACTTACGTATTGTCGACGAGACGAAAAAAGGCCTTGAGCCGTTTGAAACTTAACCCTCTATCGCGCTCAGTTACGAGCTGATCAACTCACCAGTTGACCGATGCTGCCTTTGAAGATTGTTTCCTTTGCCAGGGTGATATGCAGCGGTGTATCATTGTCTTTGTCCTTTGCATTGACGCATGCGCCATAGTCCAGGAGAATTTCGCACATGACTGAGTAACCTTCACTTGCTGCTAAATGAAGCGGTGTCTGATTTTCCTCAGTCGGAGCATCGACACGGCATCCTGGCTGATAAAGAAAACTGAAAATGTCAGAGCAAAATGCAACATTCACTCCCAAGTTTTTTTTTTTGAAAGTTTACTTATAATATCATAAGTGCAAAATATAACAAACAGCACTGGGCCGCATGTACAATCAGGTTAAAAGCTAATCTATCCATGCGGGTATTGCAACCTTAGGGCAAACGATCCTGCGTCCTGCACTTCTGCATTTCTTTTTATAGCTGAAAGGTCAGTTTGCCTCTTCCTGTACCCTTCTCCTTCCCTTTTACGCATGCGCATTGGCCTACGCAAGCTACAAATTGCATAGCAGCTGATAAGGTGATACTCGGAAAAGAAATATCGAAAAGTGTCAAATGTTTTCAAAAAACACAAACGTTTCGGGTTTATGACCCTTCTTCGGTGTGAGAAAAAACCGTTGTACAGTACCACGCAATATCATAGACATCATAAAAATGTTCGAAGCACGCGCACGCGTAATTGCGCACGCAGGATGTATATAACGTCCCAATTCAAATGAAACTGAAATTGATATTCGGTCCTTTCGGCTGAACGGTGCCTATTTGAAAAATCAACTGCATCTCACGTTGCCTTCGCTGAATGTTAGTAACAGTGCATAATGCCACACCACGCACCTGGACATCAGAAATACTGTGGCCAGTGGAGTTGAAATGTTGGGCCACAGGAGACCCAGGAAATTGCGCATACGGCTGATACAACTAGTCGGGGACGCTCTTACGCTGATGGAACAATCCTCTTTTCAACCTGCATTTACCTGTAGCAAGAGAAGCTTGGCTATTTCACGATGATCATTTATTGCAGCAATATGAAGAGTTGTGAAACCATCGCTTTTGGCAACATTCAGAATATCCCCCGCTTTTGCAAGTAACTTTTCCACAGCTCTGTAACAAAAAGGATGTATTTAAAAATCTACATTAATCTGCTTCCCTGCATTAGCCGTTACTGGAAGAAACTTTACACCGCACTTGACACAATTGAAACCTTATGGCTTGCTACAGAGACAGTATAGTAACGCGCGCAACTTGTTTGTGGGCGTTTTTCCTAAAGTTTGGACCTTCTCCAGATTTGGATATCAGCTGCATCACTCCTTCTCGTTTTACTTCCCAGTGTTTGAATATATGATATAAAATATTCCCTCTGTGATTGATATACTTTGCTTCTCAGTGCGTAGATATCCAATAAAACGCTCCTCTTCATTTATGATACATACTTCCTCAGTGTTTGGATTGTACGTGAGAAAAAAAAAAACTCCTACTCGTGTTTGTTATATTCTTTAGCGTTATGAACCCAGCATCCCGGCCTTCCGGCTTTTGATACGTTTCTTCTTTTCAGCAATTCGATATCCGATGAAATACAATTTTTGAAGCTGGTATTTACTTCGGCATATTTTTATCACGTACCTTGTATTGCCTTTCAAGACGGCATACTGGAGATAATTGAAGCCTCTTTTATTAGTCACTGTCATTGAAAGCCTCGGGTTATTCAACAGCATGTCTACCATGTTGTGTTTTTCACTAGCAATGGCGTCATATAGAGGAGTATCACCAGCCTCGTCCTTTAAAATAAAATAAATTAAAGTAAACAAAAAAATAGAAATAAGTAGAATTGTAGTAGTAGAGGTTAAATAGCTACACCCTTAAAAGAATCGGGAAGCAAGGGTGGCGCAGTGGTGAGAGCACTCGCCTCCCACCTATGTGGCCCGGGTTCAACTCCCGCCGTCGACGCGATATGTGGGTTGAGTTTGTTGTTGGTTCTCTCCCTTGCTCCTAGAGGTTTTTCTCCAGGTACTCCGGTTTTCCCATATCCTCAAAAATGAACATTTCCAAATTCCAATTCGAACAAGAATCAGGTAGACGAAAAACCTCCATGTGGATGTGCTACCTGCAAATCGTTATTTATTTATTTTATTTATTTATTTATCATACGTGTCCCTGGTCAAACTGATTTTTTTACGCACTCCTTTTGCTTCTAAGCTCGTCCCGAGCCTGGGACGGGCTAAGTTTTAATATTTCAACCGCACTGGTCATCGTCATCTCAGTTGCTACCACGTACTCTGCACTCCTTCATTATTCCCATTCATGCACTCCTTCATCATTTTCCATCCATCCCAGTTATTCTTTTCACCTATCCATCCACCTACCCACCAAGCCCTTAATTCTGGGTCTATTCATTTACTGTACCCTGTAAAGTAAAAACTGGGAAACGCCCAGTCTAGCCCTTGGGATGTGTGAAGTTGGTTTCTGGATATGTGAATTTCACCAAAGCTATTTTAAATCCAATTAAATGCTTGAATTAATCGGAAGTTGGTTTCCGGAGAGGTCCACATTCAGCGTTTTTAAGAGAGAATAGGCCGTTTGCATGATTTATTGCGTCACTTTACTACTACGACTAGGGTCCTTCAGGGTTTTGCTTTCTTGTGCAAGTCGGGCTTTTGTTATTTAAACCTCACTGCGGCTACCAAATTTAAATATCAAAAGAAAGACCAAAAGAATTCTGGTCGGAGTGGTAAAATGACACCATCGTGCAAATGGCCGATTCATCAGTCGCCATTACAATTTTCTGCATTATTTTCTTTGAGGCAGTTACGCGTGGACATGATGACGTATCTAACAATCGATTAAAAGTTGGGGACGTCCGAGGAATCAGACTTCCGTTTAATTACGACATCTAAAAATAACTTAAGTGAAGTGACATATCCCGGCCAAAGCCCTAAGAATCCCTCAATATCCCATTTTTCTCTCTTTAGAAAATGTAGTATTGACCTAAGACCGAAAGACCTATATCGATATTTACTATAATTGTCTAGATGAAAATAAAAATAAAATAAAACAAGTAAAAAACAACAGAAACAAAAAACAAAAAACAAACAAACAATCAAACAAACAAAAACTAAACAGAACAACTGCAACAGAAACAATAACTAACAAAACAAAACTTATTTGTTCTTTTTTCATGCTGTTTTATTTTGTTAAAATTGTTTACAAAATTACCAGGAGTGGGGATCGAACCCACGCGGACAACACGTCCATTGGATCTTAAGTCCAACGCCTTAACCACTCGGCCATCCTGGTGCCCACAAACGTCAAAGCAATTGTTAGGACAATGCACTCGAGGCTTTTGTGTGGCGTCGTAGTATGGTGTATATGGTTAAATATAAATATTACATGCTTTTCAAAAAACAGACAGCTTTTTTGCCCTCATACAAAATATTATATGGAAGTTATAGTACCTGAAGATTAACATCACATTCAGGGCTCTGTGTCAGGAACCGTACCGCCATATCATTGTCGTTTTTCACAGCCAGATGCAGTGGGGTACTTTTGTTATCACTGTTCTGTACATTCGGATCAAAGCCTTTCTCTAACAAGAGTTTCAATGCTTCTCCAGTTTTATCCCTAAAGTTGAAATACCATATGTTATTTGCTTTTCTTCAAAAAATTACCACTCATTCATAAGAGATATTTTTTTATGAAAAGAAGAACGGTAAATGATTGCATAACTGGCCGGAATTTTGAAAATGGTATCGCCAAATGGTCCTCTTTCTCTTTGTTTTTTCTCGGCCAAAACATCTCCAAAGTAGCCAATATAAAAACTAATTATTGCTTTTCTCTCTTCTTCCCCTTTCTTCATCCTCGTTCCTCGCTCTTTTTTATTCTCTTCTTCTTCCTTTGCTAGTGTGATTCTTGAGCTTATCGGACGCAAAAATTGCTCGATGGAGACGGTAATAAAACATGTAATGGTTTATGGAAAATCTACGAAGTAAATTTACCCATATGTTGCGTGATGAAAAGCGGTGTATCCCTGTGAATCCTGTGTATTTGAAAGAAAAAAAAAAGAAAATAATATTATATTATTGAAACAAGAGAAATCTAATGAAAAAGATCTCTGGTTTCTTTTGATATATATATTATTATGGTTAACGTCTTTACGTCGATTTTTGCGTCCATGAAAAATCCCTTAATAAAATCCTCGCAGTTTTTATTAAAATGTGAGGCTAGTTTGACTTAGAAGCTTGAAGTGATATGGAATATTAATGGTTTGAGCGTAATCCAGTGCTTTTTTCTTTAGATAAATTGTATGAAAAAAAAATAATAATAATAACATAACTGAGAAAATCATTTGCATTTACATATGTAAAATTACACGAATGAATCATATTTGCCAATACCCGTCTATTTCTAAGCTCTACATATCTTTGTCTTTACCAGGATTTCTCGACTAGCTCCCCTGTCGATTAACTCTCTGATGATGTCACAGTGACCTTCATGACATGCTATATGAAGCCCTGAATGTGCACCTTGTACCTCGTCAATCTGAGGAGGAAAAAAAAGGCATTCTTATACTCCAGTAACGAAAATAAAACAGCAACAAATATTTGTGTTCTAAGTATGAGAAGTTAGAATGCCGAACACTAGTTTACGCTATTGGGAGTCGGTAATTGTAGTTGTAAGGATGATTTTTGACCATAATTATTAGCTAAATTTCAGACTTCCTTCAACCAGTAGCCAACAAGAGAGAATAATGAGACGGAGAGAGAAACTTAAGGCGTTGGCCGGGATATGTGAATTTCACTAATAAAAGTTATTGTTAGAGGTTGTAATTAAACGGAATTCTGATTCCTAGGACGTCCGTACATATTAACCCTCGGACGTATAAGAGGGGACCCCCCTAAGGTTTTTCTGCTTTGTTTTCCTAGACGATAAAACATCAGCAGCTGAAGTTTTCTGTAGCTGTTCGTTCATTCCTCGCACGCATTTTGAGACAAGTTTACGGATGGTTAGTTATTATGGTTACGAGATATGACATCATAAGTAGCAGGTGGTCAAGCCATTTTTGAGTGAAAATGTACGTTTTTCCAACATCTATCCGGAATAAAAACAAATTTCGTGGATAAAGTGATGCAAAGTCAATGTAATTATTTAAGTGTCATTTTACATGATAAGCGCAAAAAATTATCAATTCTCACTGTTTTATTGATTTCTAATTCTTAATAACATCCAAGATAACGGCCAAGAGGGCGACCATGTTCGGTGACGTCACGACCTCCAGCAGCACCACCACCCCCACAAAATATACCTTATGTTGTAGAGAAGATGAAAGGCTTTCCACTGAAGGCAAAATCGATCGTTTCAAAATACTCCAACATATCGAAAACTCAAGGGTGGGGTGGGGGATCCTCCTTGAACCACTTTGGGGGTATGACTTTGCCTCTGGGTCCGAGGGTTAATCGATTATTAGATACGTCATCAAGACCTCGCGCGACTGCCCCAAAGAAAGCAGTGTAGAATATTGTAATGGCAACACCTCAAGAGAGCATGATGTCCCATTATTCTCTCTTGGCAACACTGAATAAATTTATGTGGATTTCCCCGGAAACTTTCGTGAGATTCACAGATCCTAGACTAGACTGGTTGTTTCCCTCTCTGTCCAATAACTCTTTTTTAGTTAATAAATCAAGCTACCACTCTGTCAGTTTAATTAGTGAAGGTGCGTCCATTGATGCCTTGTATCGGCAATGTTGTTCTGTCGAATTGCAACATGGAACTCTTCTGATTGGCTATCACTATGTTGCACGGAAAACTGGGTCGAGATTCGTTCCCACAAACAGTCCCATAAGGCAGTTCGACATGACACTGGCCCAGTCTCTTGCCCAAACCCCAAACTGGCTAATTAATGTTACAGTACCATTTCTGGATTGGCGTCAAGAATTTCTTTGACTTTGGAAAGTTGGTTGGACTTGCAAGCGCTAACAAGGTTGAGGGCCCTGTGTTCCGCCATTTGCTCAAAAGCGTGATGCATACCAAGAAAATCCCTAAAAAGGCGAAATAAACCTGAAAAATTGAAAAAAGTAGTTCATATTGTAAGAGTGTTATGAATAATATC